ACACTGAGGGCCATTTCTGTTTTCATGGAACATGTTTGCTGGATCATTTTCTACCTGGGACATCTCCCTCACTCCACATGCCTGCCTGTAGAAAGACAGGCACCTCCCTGACCTCGGTCTCTGGGTTCCAGTTCTTTTCATGCCTGGAAGAAAATCCCAGGACTTTTAGGATCAGAAGCAAAGAAGTTTCTTAGTAATGGTGTACACGTTTGTCCTTGCTATGATCCGTGTCTACATGTCTCACAGCAGGGCACAGACACAGCCCACAAAAGCCAGAGGCAGGGATTTGTTCCATGTTGGCAAAAATGGCCCTGCAATGGTAATTGCCATAGTACTAAATAACTCACATGAGTGGAACATTTTGTCCTTGGCACAGTTTTTTACACATACACATTCATTTACTTGCTTTAATTCACATTGCAGGGGTTGATTGAGGAGTTAGTATGATCTTATCCATCTTGGTCTTTCTTTGAGTCCTTGGTCTCGTGCCTTCTTATTCCTCCACACTACCCAAGATGTTTACTGACCATAATATCCACCACTGTGACTCCTGCCCAATAACCTGGGGCCAGCACTCAGTGCCTTTCAATTAATAGAGCTTTTTCCTGCCCTGTCCCTGAGATTAGCCATTGGCTGGGGGACCTAGCACAGTTTTGCTTCCTAATAGTAAAGGGGTCACTGAAGATCATAAATTTTGTCAAAGAACTGCATTTTCATGTTGAGATTCTAAGCTAGAATTAGATTCTAAGCTAGAATTAGATTCTAATTCTAATTTTGAATTAACATTTTTTTCCCTAATAAATAACTCACTTTTGAATGTTGCAGTTGACCACTTGGTGTCTAGGAAGAGCAGATGTTTAATTTACCATCAGTATCACAAGGCTGATGTTTAGCTGGTACACACAGGAATGGTCATACCAGTTGTTATTATTGAAATACATAATGGTTAATAAATAGCCTCTGCTCCCCACCCTATTCCCATACTAATAAGATATTCCCTACCTTGTTGAGACTGACCTAATCCCTCTCCTAGGACACCCTAAATCTCCCCCAAAATCCAGAAACTAGGAGGGTTAACACCTAGCAGAGCAGCCAGTTGAGCAGATGCACAGCTGTTGTCTATTCTGATCAGCAGCCAAGCCACTCCTGTTATTAAATATTTTTAACAATATTCCTGCACCATTAGGTGTTGAGGACATGTTATACATGACCAACATAATTCCACCCAGTTGTTAAAAGAAAAACGAAATCTTGCCAGGTGCAGTGGCTCATGCCTATAATACTAGCACTTCGGGAGGCCAAAGGTGGAGGATTGCTTGAGGCCAGGAGTTTGACACTAGCCTGGGCAATATAGCAAGACCTTATCTCTAAAAAAAATTAAAAAAGGATTAGCCAGACACAGTGGTGAGTGACTATAGTCCCAGATATTCAGGAGGCTGAGGCAGGAGGATCACTTGAGCATGGGAGTTGGAAGTTGCAGTGAGCTGTGATCATGTCACTGCACTCCAGTCTGGGCAACAGAGCAAGACCCTGTCTCAAAAATCAAAACAAAGCAAAAAACCAAACAACAAAAAAAAATCAAGCCCAGTGGTTCTCAAACGTGAATATGAAGCAGAATCATCAGGAGGGCTTGCTTGTTAAAACACACACTGCAGGGCTCCACCTTCAACACACACTGCGGGCTCCACCCTCGGAGGTTCTGATTCAGCAGGTCAGCAGGTCCAGGGTGGGGCCTGGGAATTTGCATTTCTCACAGTTCCCAAGGGGTGCCCTGCTGCTGGTTCACTGGTCCACAGACAGCTCCCTTTCATAAATGCTCTAGCTCTAGAGCAGGGCTTCTGAAACATCAAGGAGTACAAAAATCACTATGTAACACAAATTCTAATTAAATGGCTTTAGGGTAGAGCCTAAAGTTCTGCATTTCTATCAAGCTCCCTATGATGCTGATGGCTATGTGTGACCTTGAATAGGTCTTTAGAGCACAGAAGAGAATTCACATAATGAAAGTCCTTATAAGTGCTTAATTCTCTCTGTGTGCAATGTCTTCTTTATCTTCCTTTCATTATTTTTAACTTTTCTTCACTTTGCTTTTTTTGTTGTTTGTTTGTTTGTTCTTTCTTCCTCCCTTTCCCTCTTACCAGCATTTCTTCTCTTCCTTTTCTTTCCCTTCTCTCTTTACTTCTTTTCTTCCCACTCTCTGTTTTTCTTGTTGATTTTTCAAGATTTCAAATTCCCAACCCACTCTCAGGATTCTGCCCCTGACTAAATTTTAAAACAACAACAACAACAAAAAAAAAAATGCAACCCTGACTTCTCAAAAAGAGACTCCACCCAAACTGTCTTGGAGTTTCAGGAGTCAACAATGAGGTCAGAAATGAGTCTAGGAAAATAGTGTGGGTGCATGTCAGGGAAACAAAGAAGGTAATCAAGTGCAAAGGGACAGCCTGGATTGCTTTTTTCTAGAAAGATGCTTTTTTTCCAGGACTAGAAATGTTCCCTGCTTACAGACTAGGCTCTCTATCTGCAAAACATAGGGGAAAAAAAAGAGATATATTAGTTTTGGTGAATTTGGCCATTTTCTAGATTCTAACAGTGCTTATTCCAGTTGGGAATAAATAGACCTTTGTGAGCCATTAGTTTGTACTCTCCCTGCCCTTGGGCTGGGCAAGCTTCTTAGCAGCAAATTCCATGAAAAAGTCTATAAACCCTAGTGCTGACAGGCAGAAGTACTGGCCCTGCCTTGTTTGATTCCTGGAAACCCCAAGAATGTGGCTGGAGTTTATTGGTTTAGTATCTGTGTCTAAGAGTCAATTCTGAATTACCTTCTTTCCAAATGCAGTCAAGAGAAGTTCAAGAAGAGCTAGTTATATAAAGAAACGGAAGGTAGAAATGGTAGATGTTTTCCTGGTACAGAGAAAAAACAAATTCTTTCTGAATTCAGTTCTTACAGTGTTCAACAACTAAGAGACCTGCATATATTAGCTGACCTGTGTCCCTCCTTGTGTGACAGGTGGCTCGGGCTTGAATTCTAAATTAATTCTAGCTAGCATAAGTTAGCTAAACTTGCTGCACGTCGATCGTCTCATCTGTAGATGGCCACAATTACTTTTACTAACTGGGTACTTGTAAAATACCATATTTAAAAGTAATACACGCAGTGGCTCATGCCTGTAATCCTAGCACTTTGGGAGGCTGGAGTGGGAGGCTCCCTTGAGCTCAAGAGTTCCAGACCAGCCTGAGCAAGAGCAAGACCCCATCTCTCCAAAAATTAGCTGGGTGTGGTGGCACATGCCTGTAGTCCCAACTACTCGGGAGGCTGAGGCAGGAGGATCACTTGAGCCCAGGAGTTTGAGGTTGCTGTGAGCTATGGTCACTCCACCGCACTCAAGTCCAGGCGATAGAGAGAGACTCTGTCTCAAAAAAAGAAAAAAAGTGGTGCCTAGAACCAAGCCCACACTTAGAAGCAGTGGGGTCAATTTTGTCTCTTCCTGCCCCTCCCCCTGCCCACAGGACACATCTATTTTTATCACCACTTGGGGCTGCCGCTGACATCTAGCAGATAAAGCCAGGAATGTTTCTCAACACCCTCCAACACTCAAGACAACTCCCATGGTAGAGACTTACCAGCCTGAAGTACCAGTAGTGCTGCCGTTGAGAAACCCTGCTTGGAGGATGTTCAGTTTGTGTCAACACCCATTTTTCTTTTCCGAATGAAAATCAAAGTAAAGAAGGAAGAGAAGTAGATGAGGATAAGATCTTCAATATACAACTATGAATAAAATTCCTGGCTATGGTGGTGGACACATCCAAATCTGGGGTCTCAAACTCAAATGCCAAAAGGGCCAACCAAGTATTATAAATAAACATAGCACCCTAAGGGCAAAAAAAAAAAAAAAGAGAGAGAGAGAGGGAGAGAAACTGACAGTGGACAAAGACATTAGAAATATACTTCAAAATACCTTTCTTCTTTTTATAAAAAAATTTTAATTGTACATATTTATGGGGTACATGTGACATTTGCATATTTCAAAAATAGCTGCATACCTACAACAAAAATGGCATTTTGCCACTTAAGAACTCCACCTCGAGTTCCCAAAGCAGTAGAAGATAGAATAAGGCTCCATTGCAAAGAGCTGGCCTCCTCTGCAGGGCAGCCACTACTCTCTCCACCTGACAGTTATCGTGCGTGCGACACAGGTCTGAAGGCCCAGAGCTGGATGTTCAGAAAACCAGAAAGAAGGATTTTGCTGTTTTTGTTTTGTTATAGAATCTGCTATTTCTCACTTTTTGCTTGTTCTTATTGCTCTGAAGATTTGAGAAGCAATGGTCATGGCCATGTGTGTGGGGTTTTATTCTGACACTAAATTCTGCAAAATGACAGATCACCAAGTACAAGGGTCAGTAAATTGCTGCTGTGTATGCATAGCCCACTAGCTGGGCATGTTTTTTACATTTTTCAAAGGTTGTAAAAACAGTGAACATGCAATAAGGACCATATGTGGCCCATAAAGCCTAAAATATTATCTAGCCTTTACAGAAAAAGTTTGCCAACGCTTGACCCAGTCTAATGCACAAGAGTGATATTTCTTTACCTTCTAAATAATTATAGGAAATTAAATTCAGGGAATCTATGACTCATAAAACCATGTTTACAGGAAACTTATTATAACATTAAGACTTCAGTATTTTTCTCAACAGCAAAATAGTTCCTTTGAAATGCTAAATGAAAATCTTTTTCATCTGTTTCATATTATTTTGCTTACTTCTCATTTGGTGACTGGGAGTGGGGACGAGAGAAGGGAGAGGGATGTGTGGAAATAGGTGATGAAAGATCAACACATGACAGACATATCACAGATTCTGTATACAAGGCCCTTGGTTTGCTGATTCTTGGCTAGTCGAATATTAACTAACTAGTCATGGCATAAAAGTGAAGTTAAGTCCAAAGTCTGCCAAAGTTCCAGGTTCTGAGATGGCATGTTTAATGATGTCATAGAAGAGTGACCTTTATATTCCGTGTAGGATGCTATGATTAAGAAGAGACAGCTACCGTGATCCATCTGAACCAACAGATTTTCATCAGCAATTGCCAACTGTAAATCATGGTGGAGATTCTTAAAGACATGGCAAGTATTTATTTGGATTCATTGTACATTTCAAAAGTGGACACGTTGATCAAAAAGGGTTTTCTTCCTCCTTGATTTTTATCTCTTGCTCTGATTCCAGCTGGACCCAGGCCAGCTCCTAACATATCCCTCCTGCCTCTGATCCCATGAAATCCACCTTAGTTGTACCTGGGAAATTCTATGTCTATGGAAGTAAGAGAGTCCCCATCTTTTCTCTTATCTTAGGAAAGCAAACAGAAACCCCAGGCATGCCTACGGAATGGATTAGGAAAAATGATGACTAGTAGGTAGTATCAATGATCCCTTAGGTGGGCACTTTATAAAGCCACTTTCTTCCCATTGTCCAAAGTCACAACAAATCTAAATGCATATATAGGACAGAGATAAGTATTGATTTATGAAGAAGAAAATTGTCTCAAAAAGAGAAGTTTAATTCTGAAAACAGGCACTCAGAAAAAAAAATTTCAATAAAATACAATAAATAGAGGTTAAATACTACCTTGTTGAAGGGGTGGGTGGGCATTAGAATCCAGACCTCCTGATGCCTCATGATAAGAGGTACGAGCTGAAGGGAGGGGGAGGGTACAGGGCCTGAGCCTCACATCCACCAGCCCTCTCAGATTTAGACTTGGGGCATTCTCCCTAAAAGAGGTTATACATAAGATCACAAAAATGGCACTGAACAGATTAAAAGAAGGCATTGTCCCATAACTTTGACATAAGACAATGTTTTAAAATGTCACACATTTACTAACGCTTTGGGCACTTCTTTTTTTTCATTTTCTAGGGATCTCATGAAATAGCCCAGGGTCTAACTATTCCCTGAGGACACCTGTCCTCTCTTCCTCAGAGACCTTTCCTGAGACCTGCTGTCTCCTCCTTATCTTTATTCTGATGCCACCTTCTCTTTGAGGTTGACCTTGGCCATCAGACTGCAATGGTAATCCAACCCCATCCTTCCTTCCTCCTTCATTTTTCTTTTCTTTTCCCCCTTTACTAGCAATTATCACTAACATACTACACATTTTACCCGTTGATCTTACCATGAGCTTCCTCTTGTAAAATGTAAGCTCCATGGAGACAGGGAATTTTTTTGTCTTTTTTTTTTTTTTTTTTTTGTCTATAGTTGTATCCTAGCAGCTTGTGCAATATCTGGCGTAGTTATTGGCCTCCATAGGTACATGTTGAATAAATATCTGCACTATGGGAGTATTCCCTTCAGAAAACAGACAAGTCAAGTTCATGAGTCCAACTAGGCCAACTCACACCCAAACAATAACTCCTGGGGAGCGAAGGGTGTTGGAAGCTTGTGAGGATGGCTTCTTCCTTACAACTTCACAAGCAAGTGAGAAATGGAGGCTTGGCAAGGCTCTCTGAAAAGTTACCCCATCCCAGAGGAATATTGGTAAAGAAAGAGAGTGCATCTTCTTTGAGTCATCAGTTTCACCAGCTTGAAACTAAACCAAATAGCAACATTAGCCTCAAGATTTCCCTGTTGTAGAGCAGACATGCCATTTGTATGGAATTACCACCACCTCCCCACCACCATAATAGGAATAGCCCCTGCTTGACTTAATCTCATTTGTCTCCATGCTAATGATTGGTCCAGGGATGAGCACACGATGCAGTTAGGAACTGTGAAAGGGACAGTGAGTCCCATTACTATGAAGAATTCAGGGGAGGATTTTTGTAGCTGTTAAGGAAATGGGCTCTGGAGTCAGGCTGCCTAGGTCGCCAGTTGGTCGACCATGAGAAAGTTAATGAACTTCAGTTTTCTCATCTGTAAAATGGGGATAATAATAGTACACAAGCCTATAGGGTGGTTTTAAAGATATGAGAGAGGTTAAAAAAGAATAGAGCAAATTAGCTACTATTGTTGCAATTCCAGTGAGAAAAGGAAAAATAAACACTCCACAAGCTCTTCCCATGTGCCAGTTAGGGTTCATGGGAAGTACAGAGGTGAATCCAACATGAGTCCTCTAGGGACTTGGGGAGATAAACCATGCATGAAATAACTAATATATTCCTTTATGGAATAAGGAAGCAAGTATGGATACAGTGATCTGAGTTCCCAGAAGAGAAACTACTTTACTTAGGTGATATGGACAATTGATGGGAAATTGATATAAGAAATTCAGCAAAAAGCATATCAAATTCTTAAATGTATGGTTTTAACGATAGTCATAAAACCAATCATGTCCCCAAAAGAAAACAAAAAAAGAAATGACTCAAGGTGTTAGATTAGTTATTCTCCTTTTGAATTTCACTATAAATGCATGTTTGGGCCCTTGTTTCAAAAGAATCAAGTATAGATATCCAACCTGAGCAACAGTTCACCCCTATCCTCCAGCCCTTATCTCTCCCAAGCCAATCTGAGTTTCTCCCCAGAACTAACCACCATGGCCAACTTCCATCACCAACTCATTTGGTGAATAGACTTCACCATTTGTATGTATTTGCCAAGAGAAATATGCCTGACCTCAGAGACATTTAGGAAAGGCTGGGTCAACTGAAGAACAATAGCGTGGGGCACCTGGTTAATATTTTTAAGAACTAACCTGTCATTTCATTCTCTGAAAGATTTTATGAGATTCATAATTATGCAAATTTCCTCATTTACATTCTGGTTTCAGAATGAATTTAAAACATTTTTGCAAGCTGCTGGACACAAACTCGTGGTGGTTGAATTTTCAGCAAAATGGTGTGGTCCCTGCCAAAGGATGTATCCTATTTTTCATGTAAGTACAACCAGTATCTATCCCACAGTTTTAAAAGGAATTTAACGTTCCAAAATATTTTTCCCAGTAATTCTTAAATGTTTGGCACTGATAAGCCATTATGGAGTCATAGTTTTTGAAGCATCCTGATTAACCCGAATATAATATACAAAGATCTAATTAGATAATTAATGTACACACAGAAGATTGCTACTACTTGTCTATGGATAATTCTACAAGAAACATCAAGATGTGCAAAAGAGTCCAATTGTACAAATGAATGAATGGATTACTCATATTATATTAATGACATTTTACCAAAGTTCCAGAGTTCAGAACTTCTTTTTCTTTTTATTTTGAGTCAGAGTCTCTCTCTGTTGCCCCAGGTAGAGTGTAGTGGCATCATCATAGCTCACTGCAACCTCAACTCCTGAGCTCAAGTGATCCTCCTGCCTCAACCACCCGAGTACCTGGGACTACAGGCTCAAGCCACTGTGCCCGGGTAATTTTTCTATTTTTAATAGAGATGGGGTCTCGATGTTGCTCAGGCTGGTCTCCAACTCCTGAGCTCAAGCAATCCTAGAGCCAAGTCTCCCACCTAAGCCTCCCAGAGTGCTAGGATTATAGGCGTGAGCCATCTCATATGGCCCAGAACTTCTAAAACATACATCTCTTCAGTAAAACCAAGTTTGCATTCAGAACTGTAGCTGCAAGAGAACCCAAGGAATCTTCACTTTTTTCCCTTTCCAGGCTCTACAGGGAGGTGGAATGGTAGTTAGTTAGCTAAACCATTATTCAAGGGAGGAAGAAGAATTCAAGACATTTTCAGATACACAAAAACTAAAAGTTTACTACCCACGAGGTCTCTCCAGAGAATTACTAAAGGATGTATTGCAACAAGAAAATGAAAAGTGAATCATAATTAAATATGTGTTTTAAGAAGTAATTTGAAACTTTAAATCTTAAATAACCATCAGTCTCATTTGATCTGGACCTTCGAAACTAAGAGCAGGGGTCAGTAAACTTCTCTCGTAAAAGACAAGATAGTAAATATTTTCAGTTTTGCAGGCCATATGGTCTCTGTCACAACTACTCGACTTTGCTATTGTAGTGCAAAAGCCAATGGCAACACAAAGACAAATGGCAAAACTGTGTTTCAATAAAGCTTTATTTACAAGAACAGGTGGAGAGCAGAATTTGTTCCAGTGGTCAGTTTGCTGACCCTGGGCTAAGAGGATCAGTGAGCAAAAAACTCTTTAAACAGCACATCTGGAAAAGAAGAGGTTATAAATTTTTGGGAAATTGTGTGATGTGATCAGGGGAGGGCAAGTAGTCTCTGAGTCTGACATACAATGTACACAATGAAAGTGGCAAAAAATGGAAGGTGAGGAGGCCAGGTCAAGAACTTCATACTATAACTTAATGCATTGCTGTGGGTCAAAATAGAACAATTTTAAGAAGGTTTTTATCATTATCAAATGTGCATTTTTTTTTCTTTATTTTTTTTTATTTTGGCATATTATGGGGGTACAGATTTTAAGGTTTCAATAAATGCCCATTTCCCCCCCTCCCCCCAAAAGTCTGAGTCTCCATTCATTGACCATCCCCAGATGGTGCACATCTCACTCATTATATGTATTACCCACCCCCCTCCCTCCCACCTGCCCAATACCCTATTACTGTAGTACCTATGTGTCCACTTAGGTGCTAGTCAGTTAATACCAGTTTTCTGGAGAATATATCTGGTGCTTGTTTTTCCATTCTTGGGATACTTCACTTAGTAGTATGGGTTCCAGCTCTAACCAGGAAAATATAAGATGTGCTATATCACCGATTGTTTCTTAGAGCTGAATAGTACTCCTGGATATATACCACATTTATTAATCCTTCTTGGATTGATGTGGCACTTGGCTGTTTCCACAGCCTTTGCAATTATGAATTGTGCTGCTATAAAACATCGAGTGCAGGTGTCTTTTGTAGAGTGTCACTGGATCGTTTGGTAGATGCCCAGCAATGGGATTGCTGGATCAAATGGTAGATTCACTCTGTATCGCTTAAGTATTTCCATATTGCGTTCCACAGAGGTGAACTAGTTTGCAGTCCCACCAGCAGTGTAGGAGTGTTCCTCTCTCTCCGCAAACGACGCAGCATTATTGTTTGAGATTTGTTGATAAAGGCCCATTCCACTGGGGTTAGTGATACCATTGTGGTTTTGATTTGCATTTCCCTGATGATTAGAGATGTTGAGCATTTTTCATATGGTTTGGTGCGCATGTCTTCTGTCTTCTTTAGAAAAATTTCTGTTCAAGTCTTTTGCCCACTTTGTTAATGGTTATTTGATTTTTTCTTCTAATTTTCGTGAGTTCTAAGTGATATATTCTAGTTATCAGTCCCTTATCGGATGCATAGGATGCAAAATTTTCTCCCATTCTGTAGGTTGTCTGTTTACTTTCATGACTATTTTCTTGGCTTGTGCAGAAGCTTTAGTTTGATCATGTCCGCATTTATTTATTTTGTTGCTGCTGGATTCGCTTTGGGGACTTCTTGCATAAAAGTCTTTTGCTAGGCCGTGTCTAGGAGATGTTTCCAACTTTTCCTCTAGAGTTTCTAATTAGTTTCATATCTTAGGTTAAATCGTTTCCAGCGGTGAGTTAGTTTGTGAGAGGTGAAAGGTTGTGGTCCGTGTTTTAGCCTTCTACAGGGTGGCTAATCCTTTCCAGCACATTATGTAAGAGAGATTCTTTTCCCAGCGTATGTTTGTCTGCTTTGTCAAGATTAATGCTATAGAGGATGGTTTATATCAGGATTCTCAATCTGTTCCAATGTCATATTTCGGTTTGTTGCCAATACCAATTGGTGTAAATTCACAGCTTTTGTAGTGATAGGTTTATAATCTGGCATATTAATGCCTCCCATTTTGTTTTTGTTGCCTAGAATTGCTCTTGATATTCGGTCTCTTTGGTTCCATACGAAAGCGTAAATTATTTTCTATTATCTGTGAAGAATGCTGATGGGATTTTAATAGGTAGTACATTGATCTGTAGATCAGTTTGTAGTATAGACATTTTGATGATATTGAGTCTGCGATCCACGACGCATGTATGGATTTCCACATCTGTTTACATCCTCTGCTTTATGCTTTCCTCAGTGTTCATAGTTCTCCCTGTAGAGTTTTACCTCTTGGTTAAATATTCTAGGTACTTTAATTCTTTGTGCTATTGTGAAGGAATGAGTCTTTGATTTGGTTCTCAAATTAGAGTTGTTGGGTTGCGTAATGAATGCCTCTGATTTCGTGTATTGATTTTGTATCCTGAGACTTTACTAAATTCATTGATCAGTTCTAGAGTTTCTTGGTTGAATCCTTGGGTTTTCTAGATACAATATCAGTATCATCAGGCAAACAGTGAAAGTTTGGATCTCTTTCTGCCTATTTGGATACCTTTGATTCCATTTTCCTGTTCTGATTGCTGTAGCCAAGACTTCGCAGAGCACTATGTTGAACAGAAGTTGGAGTAGGGGCAGCCTTGTCTGGTTTCCAGTTCTAAGTGGGAATGATTTCAATCTTTCCCCATTCAGTATGATGTTGGCTATGGTCTTCGATATATGGCTTGTAATCATTTTGAGGTATGTCCCTCTGATGCCTATTTTCTTAAGTGTTTCGTATCATGACAAGGTGTTGAATTTTGTCAAAAGCTTTTTCTGGCATCTATTGGAAAGTAATCATGTGGTCTTTGTTTGTTTGCTTCTGTTGATGTGGGTGAATTGCATTTATAGATTTACATATTGGTTGAACCATCCCCTGCATCCTGGAGAAGCCACTGGTCGTGGGTGGATTATTTTTTTTTGAACGTGTCTGGAATGTCGGTTAAGCTAAGATTTTGTTGAAAAATTTTGTGCATCTATATTCATAGGGATTGGTCTGTAAGTTTTCTTTTTTTGTGCATCCTTTGCCTGGTTTGGTATCAAGTTAATATTCGCTTCATAAAATGTCGGGAGGTTTCCGTTCTTCTCGATGTTGTGGAATAGTTCTGCAAGATAGAGTACTAGTTCTTCTTGTAAGTATGGTAAAGATTGCAGTGTGAAGCCATCTGGACCGGGACTTTTCTTTTAGGGACGATTTTTATGCTGTTTTATTTCAGCTGTTGAGATTGGTCTGTTCAGGGAAGTCTATTTCTTCCTGGTTGAGCCTAGGGAGGCTGTGTGTTTCTAGAAATTTGTCCATTTCCGTCCACATTTTCCAGTTGTGTGGCATAAAGATTTTTGTTAGTATTCATAAATTGTATCTGTATCTCTTTGGGATCAGTTGGTGATAGTATCTCTTTTTTATTCCTGATGGAGCTTATTAGAGATTTCTCTTTTCTGCTTGTTCGTGTAGCTTAGCCAATGGTGTGTCAAGTTTGTTTATTTTTCAAAGAACCAACTTTTGTTTTATTAATCGTCCTGAAGTAGCTTTCCTGTTTTCTTTCGTTTAGTTCTGATTTGATCTTGTTGATTTCACTTCTTCTGCTGGTTTGGGTTGGTCTTGTTCTTCTTTTTCCAGCTCTTTGAGTCGTTTCATTAAAATTCGTCATTTGTGAGCTCTTCTTGTCTTTTGGTTATAGGCATTTATGGAGATAAACTTTCCTCTCAGAACTGCTTTAGCTGTGTCCCAGAGGAGTTGATAATTGTCTCTCATTGTCGTTTTCTTCATAGAAGTTTTTTATTTCCGTCTTGATTTCGTTCATTTACGAAGTAATCATTTAGTAGGAGGTTGTTTAATTTCCACGTTTTTGTGTAGAATGTGAGTTTTCTGTTAGGGTTGATTTTCTAGTTTTATTCCACTGTTGATCGTGAGAAGTACGATGGTATGATTTCTATTTTTTTAAATTTCTTGAGTTTCTTTGTGTCCTAGGATATGGTTCAATCTTAGAGAATGTCCCGTGAGGCTGATTGAGAAGAACGTATATTCAGTGGATTTGGGTTAGAATGTTCTGTAGATGGTCTGTCAGACCCAATTGTTCTAGAGTTTTGTTTAAGTCCAT